GACCCCATTTTTGGCATCTGCTCATCGGAGTGATTGGTCAGCAGCCTCTTCTGGTGCCAGTGTCAAGGTGCATCTCTGTCCAGGGACCTGGGCTGGACCCTGATTTGGAAAGGTGGATTGTGCTGAGGCCCCGCCTGCAGACACGCATTCGGATCAGGGCTTGGAGGAGATGCAAGTGGGCCTCTCACGTTTTGTTGTGTAATGAAATCTCATTTGTTGGCCTTTGGACAGCAAAGATATTTGCATGACTCAAAAATCAGGGTTCCCCAGGGTGTACTGTGGGGGTCCTTCCCCACCTGCCTCAGCCAGCCCGTCTCCTCCCTGTGGGTAGCCCGTGTTAGGGACGTGTGGGCAGGCACACAGCAGCACCCGTGTGTCATTTGCCGACGCACACTGGGGGTTGTTCCGATCAGTCCACAGAGGCTTCTGCTCTCTTTTAAAACATTTCAAAGTTTGTTCTCTTTTGTCTTTATGACATTTTTCAAAGTTGTAGGAAGATAAACACAGCGCAGAGTTTTACTGTCCTCGCTCCTTCTAAGCGCACAGCTCAGGGGTGTCAAGCACATTCACACTGTTGGGCAGCCGTCCCCCTCCGTCCGTCCCCGTTGAACGCGGACCCCTCCCCGCCCCCGCCCCTATTTCTGTGGGTCCGACTCCTCTGGGGCCTACGGAGAGTGGATCCTTTGGGATCGGTCCCTCTGCGCCGGGCGCCGGGCTGATCTCACTCGGCACCGTGTCCTCCACGTTCATCCGCGTTGTAGCAGGTGTCGGGATTTCCTTCCTTTAAGGCTGAATTATGTTCCATGGTGTGGACAGGCCACATGGTTGCTTCCACCGTCTGGTTTTGTCAATGGCGCTGTCATGAACATGGGTGTGCAAGTCTCCCTTCCATTCTCCTGGGTGTGCGCCCTGCAGGGGGATCTTTGGGCCGTACAGGGATTCCCTTTCACATTTACCGGGGCGCTCTGCTCTTTTTGATCGCTGCGTGACACTGCACAGGCCTCTTGCTGGGCTCTGCTGCTCGACAGACAGTGCTCTCCAATCTTCGGCACCTGGAAACACCCTCTGGGGCATGGGCCCTGGTGCTCTCGCCTCCCAGGGGTCCCCACGTGGCCGGTCCCCTGAACCAGCGCCCTGGCATTCCTGTGCTCCCACTTCTCCGACATCTGATAGGCAACAGACGGCCCCCTTCAGCTTCTTCGCGCCCCTTCTAAGGACGGGAGCGTTGCGGCGTACGTGCTCCCTGCCCAACGCACTGCCTGGTCACATCTTTGGCGTGTTTTTCTCTGAGGTGTGTTTTTCCTGGTCTGTAAGAACCCTTAAGGATTAGGAATATGAGGCGCTTGTCTGTGACAGAAACCAGTTGCAAATATATTTCCCAGTTTGTCATTTTTCGTATAACATTGAGGAGGACTTTTTTTTTTTTTTTTTTTTACATACATGAAGGATTTCTTTCCATTTTTGTATAGAGGCACACCAGCTTTCTCTCTGCGGGGCTCCTGGCTTTTGTGACACCATCAGTTAGGAAATGGCTTCCAACTCCCTGGTGCTTCTGGCATCTTCGTTGCATTTGGAATTTGACCCTGGGAAAAAAGGAGGAACAACTTGGTTTTTTTGAGATTACTACCCAATTTCTAACGTCATTTATCCAATTGCCTCTCTGTCCTCCACGGACTCTGGCTGACTTTGTCATGCGCTAAATTCCCATGCTCCCATTTTGCTTTATATTTGGACTTTTTTTTTTAGGATTTATTTCTTTATTCTCGAGAGAGTGAGAGAGCATGAGCGGGAGGGGCGGAGGGAGGGGTCGAGAATCTCAAGCAGAGTCTGCGCTGAGCGTGGAGCCCGACTCAGTCGCACGACCACGAGATCACAACCTGAGCCGAAACCGAGAGTTGGACGCTTGATGGACGGAGCCACCCAGGCGCCCCTGTTTCTGGACTTCCCATTCATCCCTTTGGTCACTCTTCTGATTTCCAAACCCCGTTGTTTCACCTGTTGCAGCTTTGTGCCCCACTGCCTCAGTTTACTGAATGGCTCTTGCCTGTTGGTCTTCCTTCTGGAATTTCCCAGCCATGAGCTCATCTTAGTGAGCAAAGACCGCTGCATTTATGTGGCTTGTTCATTTTATGGATTGACCACTTCGGGGACGTCGGCCCCGTTGGATGCTGAGTGTCTTTCCCCAAAATTGCAGACGACCCTGTGTTTGTCTGAGGCTCCTTTTGTGCCCGTCACGTGGCTTCCAGCACGCGAGGCCTCTTGGGAGGTGGAAGGAAGTCGATTTGCACTTTGCAGGGCTCTCGTGTCTGCTCATTCCCAGGCCAGGTTGGATTCGGTGCAGAACGAGGCTTCCGGGCAACGGGGGCCGTCAGCGGCAGCCAGGATCCCCTGCGCGGCTCG